TTTACTTCCGGCGAAAACGTAAAACCGCCATTTCTCCGCCAATATTTAGTCTTTTTCAAATTTTTTTTTCGGAAATTAGAGATTATTCTTCGACCACTACTTTGACCCAAAAATCCAAATTTGAAGAAAATTGCTGACCTGAAGGTATACTGTAACCTTAAAAGGAGAAGTGAAAACGTGTATTCGATGGCTTCACGCAGTCTCATAAAACAGACTGACGTCTTGATCTATCTCTAACAAGGAAATTATAGCCTGATAAAGAGCTGGGTCGTTTTGGCGACTGATCCCGAGTACAATTGATAGCACAAATAGCCCGAGCGGCCTTCTTGTTCATACCCCGGATACCTTAAGGTCAGCAGTGCAGTGTGGGAATCCTTCAACAAGCCCATTGATGACCAGACTCGTTGCGTTAGGTCTGTAGTTTGCTGGACTTATAAATCATGCTCATGTATAATCAAAACGATAGACTTGAGCAGCTCTAGATAATCCAGCGAGACAGGTCTTACTTCGCTTGCGCTGAGACACGACGTGAAACTGGCAAATTAATCAAAATCACGCAACCTAACCATGTTTCGTCACAACATGGCGGTCATTTTAAATCGGACATTGTCCTTCCCTGTTTTGCTTTATTCGCATCGACCAAGATTAAAATATTAAAAAAAATTGGGTAATCTCATAAAACTCTTTAAACAAGTCGGCTCGTTTGACTAAACATTCAAGATCGTTCTAAAAATGGCGAGAAACGAGGACATCGGACGATCAGTAAAAACGGCAACGACGACTAAAATGGTGCATCTACATCTAAATGTTTACGTCGGTAAAAAACTATATTGAGGAATAGGAATCAATGAGCGATACGGGAATCTGTAAGGGTTAACCCTTAAAATCATTGAGTACTGACCACTGTCGATTCAGTGATATTTAGGCTTACCTGAGAACCATTTAGGGTAGGGGGTAGAGTGCCATTTCATCATTTCGCCATCTCGTGTTTTAGCTTGTTTTAAACACGCCCGCGCGCGCATATCATCATTCCCTTTCATCCAGAAACATTAGAAAATCTGATCATAGAATCCATTTCATATTCCCTGGGAATCTTATGTATCCAAATGCCACTTTATGGCGAATGGGAGCAGGTATGACGCAAAACTGAAATAATTTATTGCATCGCAAGTCAGGTGGCTTGACGAAAACACGAAATGATTTTCTTGCGTCCGGGAAACTACTTGCGTACCAGAGGAACATAAAACATGAGTAACATGACCGGACAATTTACGTGCTTCGTGGATCAGAAATAAGTGACTCTAAAAATAAATCGAAAAAGGAAGAAACAAACCTGTGAATCTTAGAGAGTGTTTCTAACTGAATTGAAATCCTATCGGCACTCCCAAACAGGAACTCGATTCTCTTGTAGTATGCACACCCACCAAGGTTCTATCATCAAAACGAATGACGATAGCGAACAATTATTCACTGTGTTTAGTGAAGGAGCACTGTGCTTTGCTTTAGTGGCTTTGTAGCTAGCGAATTTTCACCGGCTTGTGGATCCGCTTTTTAACAGTGCTCGGTGATATCGCTTCCGATCACGATGGTTTAGAAATGAAGGACACTTGAAACCAAAACTTGAATGGAAAAATATTACCTTCACGGGTGGTGTGCTTGACTATTTGTTTCTTTTTTACCGAGAGAGCGACACTTTTAACGAAAATTGAAAAAAAAGCCGCGAAAGAAAACGTATGTGTTAAAGGGAGACGAGGAGATAAAAGATAGGAGGAGGGAAAGATTACAATCCTGTAAAATTAATTGGTTTCCGCTAGTTAATCTTTCCCACTCTTCCCTTCTCGTTAGCATCAAGACAGTCTAAGAGACTACGTGTTGACCTTACAACCTTTGTTTTCACGAAAATAACAATTGCATACAACATAGCTCTGTTTTAAAGTCTTTTAATACTCTATCCCTCTTTGTCACACACACATACAAGCCTGAAGTCACGCCAAAGTGAGCTAATATCTAGATCGGGACAAGCACTGGGCTGTGATTATTTGTCAGTACAGAATTAGGTCAATGAAAGTGTCCAGTGGAATTCAGTCAAGTTTGAAATAAAATTACGGCTTTTAATACAAAGTGCCATACGGCTTTGGCTAAGCCGTCTTCTCCAAACTACAATCTTGGACAAAATGAATGGAACATCTGGACCACCCCTCACCCCATTTCAATGATGCCAAAATGGTGCGTTTTTGCTCCTTCGCGCCTTCATCATTGCTTTGNGGGATGGGGGATAATTGTTCCATTTTATTCCGTCCAAGATCGTAGTGCTATCCTGTCACGCGTGGACGCCTTTCGTTGTTTCTCATCTTGCGCGCGTTTGCTCTCCTCGGTATGGCCTGGGATCTAAACCAAAATGGCAGCGGCTGCTGCCTTTGCTGCACGTATGAACTGATCATGAGCGCTGTTGAGCTGGAAGGTCTGGCATATTTGTCTTTCTTTGATGATGGCTCCTGGTTTCAGGTAAAGTTCTGTTTTATCCCTGTTACGTTTTCTATTGCCAAAGCAACTGTGGCTTACATTACCTAAAGAAGTGTATGTCTGTCGTCGGTTGGTGCATGTTGAGCCCGGGATGTAAGTTTATATAAGCTTTTGAATACGGTAATAAGCGCAAGAAAAAATGGAAGCTTTATGTATCGATCAAAGAGAGACTTAAACTTCTCTCCCGTGTATCCTGGGCATTTGATTAGTAGATGCGTCCCAGACGGTAACTTGACATCAGTGGTTGATAAATGTGTGGGGTATTTGACTCTATATGGGAGGGGTAGGGGCAGGGGAGTTGAACAGGTTACCTCAAGATGATCCATAGCAGGAGGCATCCATATACATAATTTTTGGATCAAAAACAGTCTTTTCCATTTATATCCTGGGAACTGGGACATTTTATGGCATAGTTAATACACCGGGGTGGGGCATTTGAACACCATTTTTGCCCCAGGGGATGGTAATTTGAAGATGAAGATGCAAAATTGGTGGCAGGGGGGCGGGGCGGTGGTTGTAGAGATTGCCTGGGGTATATTGAAGTGTACAAATGAATGACACATTAATTTGCTATCAAAGCTAATATGTTTGCCCCTGTTGACAAAGTGAATGCCAATTAGCTACTAGTAAAGATCACTGAACTTTTATCTGTTCTTCTATGGAATGACTGAATTAATACATTCAAGTGCTTCATGATTTGTGCAAAGTTATCATTAAAGCAGTAACATGCCCCAGGTGGATAGGGTGTGAAGGGAGAGGGTAATTGTTAGGTGTCACCTTTCCATACCTCTAAAGGAAATGAATATTCAGCTTTTAGAAATTGGGAGCTGCACAAATTATTTAGAAATTTTAAACAATGGACAGTATAATTGGGCATGTGCATTCTTTATAATTTGTTCTTTGCATAGAGCAGTTTTCGATTGAGTGTCGAACGAAATTGGACAATTACTTTGGGTTTGGTTTTGGTTTTACTACAGTTTGAACTTGGCTTAGTAGTCTAATTGAGAAGTAATTGGTTTGGGTTTGGTTTTACGACACTCAATTGAAAACCGCTCTAATACATGTTTATTTATAACTTTTACTCTTAATTAGCATTTGCACAGCTCTTGGTAGCAAATATTGTAGATCAAGGTTGTGAAACCACTATTACACCAGTCTACTGGATTAAATCAGAGATTTAATTAAAAATTCAGAAGGAGAATTGCAGTGGATAATTTGCTGCTTTGACATGAACTGAAATGTACATTCTGGTACAAACTTCAGGGAACACTTCTGACAAAGGATAAAAAGCAATATGGAGTCATGGGAGAAAGTAGGCAACCTACATACATGTAGACCTATGGATAATTTAAAATACTGTAAATACTCTTAAGTGTGGCTGTCTTGTGGATTCACAACATATTATAAAAGTTCTGAAGGCATGCTGGAACATTTTTTGTGTTAACTTCTTGCGATGTCAAGATCAATAATCAAGAAATTAGACACAAAATATAACGTTGAAAATATAGATTAAAATTCATCTAGTAGTTAAATATCTTGAAGAAGATGCTCCTTCAAGGGCATCATTCTAGTCTACCTTTAATCAGTTAGTTTTACTTATTTAGTGTTTTAAGGGTAGATATCTCTTTTTCCTCGCATAGGTGGTATAAATGATGATATTGGAACATTTATATAGAACTGAACTGGAATGTTATGTTTTTTGGTCTTGTAAGTAGTTTGTAAGTGTACTTGACAGACACACCACGTTGTAAATAATGTTTGTATTTTGAAGTAAAGCATAAAAACAAAAAAGAAATTAAAAAAAAAGAAAACAAAATAATCAAGGTCTTGGTAATTTGTACTGATTCAGTTATTGAATATTGATTATCAACATCACCTACAGCAGTCAGGCTTTGGTACATGTAGATGTAACAGTTACATTATTCTTGATCCATGATCTAATCTTGATCAAATTACATCAAGAATATTTTATCCAATATTAATTGACAGCATGTGGTCCACCAGAGGAAGGTTTTGCTGAATGTTGTTTTGATGATGAGCCATTATTTTATGTGATCACCATTATTGATCATGAAGTAAATAAAGATATGGTAAGGATATATTATTTAATTTAGCTGGTTTCTGAGCAGTCCCAATACTAGTCAATCCATTTAGCATAACCGGAAGTAGTTAAATTTATTATACCTCTAGGTTTCTATGCATGCTGTGATTGGTCTATTCAATGAGCACTAAAATTTAATTCAAACTTATCCCAAACCTGCCGAACACAAGTAGAGATGTAACAAATATCTTGCTAACCTCTTCTTCTCAGTCTGTGCTATACGCTATGAATCCTTGTTTTCCTCCTTTGATTTAATGGCCTGCAAGCTTCACACGAAAACTCAGACTGTATCTTTCTTTTCAAACATGGTTAGCAAGAGATTTTTTAGAGCTTCAAGTATTTCATCTAACGAGACCTATAATCCGGGCTAAAAGTCCTTGGGACACTTGACAAAATGACAACTGGTGACATATTATGTTGAAGTGGGAAGTCATTATTTCATTTGCCAAACCCCCGTCCCCCCAAAATAATGTTGGAATAGTGGGTCTACTTTGGATGCATCAACATCAACATTATGTTGGGGGTGGGGAGGGGGAGGTGGACAGAAAGACCATATGTTGGGAAAAGTGCAA